AAGTCCTGCTAACTTATGTTAACATACATTTTCGTAATTATATTTGTGTGCAACCTCAATGAATCACCTGATGAATTTTTCATAATTTTCTGTTGGCCAAAGTTCAGAAGTTCTTTCTTTCTCATTAGATCAATTATATATGTAATTTTCGTCCTCCAAAGTAGTTTTTCTGGTGAGTTCTGTGAATGTCTTTTCAGTATGGATCTCTCATACAGTAGTTATTTGTAAAGCATTAGTCTATTTACTTTTAATTTCTCCTTGTTTAGAAATAGCATCAGCTTTTTCAAGCCCACTGTTGTTATGTTCTGTGCTGTAAATTAAACATCTTGCTGACCTTTTGTTCCGTGAAATGTGGTCCCCCTGTGTGAATCCATACATAGATAAATTACCAAATACATCACCAGAGGAAACATTCGGTCATCCCGGTCCTGGGACTCCAAGAGTAGACTTTATGGTAATAAGCAACTTTAAGTAAGTAAGTACCTTTATGGTAAGTAATGAGAAAAAAAAGCAAATGCAGCTTCACCTGCTGTTATGCTTTAGTAAATCTTACAGGAAACCCACAACGACCAAAAGCCCATCACACAACTGTTTATGGAACATGCAGACAAGAATTAACCTGCAAACTTGTGCAAGACTGTTTTTATCTTAATCAACATCACTGTACACAACTAAGATAGATCACGTGCAATTGGCATCAAACATGTTGCATGAAAACACCAGTTATGTACGGCATTAGATATTGTTGCACCACACACAACACAACCTGAATATTTTATAATCTATTCTGGATATGACGTATTTTCACTAAAGGTCATTGTGGCGGTTTCAGCCACCGTGGCTGCCTCGACAGATTCTCCAAGACATGGTGTTGTCGTAAGACTTTTATTTTGTACACGGACATGCACTTGCGCACTCTCACACACATAGCATTAAGCTCAGTTGTTGAGTTCCATCCATCCATCCATCCATCCATTATCATTACCACTTATTCCCTAATCGGGTCGCGGGGAGAACTGGAGCCTAACCCAGTGCTCAACGGTCGGGGTACACCCTGGACAGTCCGCCAGTCCATCGCAGGGCCAGTCGCTGAGTTGTACTCTTTTAACAAGGGGAGAGTTATTAGCCGAGTAATTCCAGGTTTGCTAATCACCTACCCTGTTGCTACTTCCCTAACTATTCCCCACACCTGCCCTCCTGCAGCTGAGCACCACGCCCCCTCCACAGTAATGAAATATACATTTACAAAATTCCTTATGGGTTTGCGTAGCTTCTCCTAAAAGGTAAGGTATGTAGCAGCATAGATTTATCCTCTATGTATATTACCAACGCACAACCGGTGTCATTTGATCATGGTGCACTGGTATAAAATGGCCCATCCTCGAGTCGGTCCCTCTTCTCTGTGCTTCTGTTGTCTACCACTTCCGGGGCACAGCTTATCTGGCCTGACCTGATTATATTATGTATATCAAATTTGGACTTAATTTATTGAGCATTACTTTCCACAAGACAAGAGTAGAAATACTTCCTGTTGTTTTTTTGCAGCAACTGAAATGATCCTGCTCCATAATTCACAACACATTTATTCATTTACAAGAAGATAACAAAAACTTTGACTCTGGCTTTTGAAACTTTGTGTACATGTAGGAGTTCTCACCATCTGCCAAAGAGGAGAGGAAATGGAAGCGTGCTATTGGATGGTGGATGATGAGCCACGATTTGAGTGAGTGAGGCAATAGCTGTGCCACACAGCCAGCCACACCCCAGAGAACTGGAGAGAATCAGAGAAACCAAGCAGCAAACAGCATGGAAAAAGGGAAGAGACATAACAGGAACGGGGAAATCCTGCAAGACCCTAACACAAGAGGTCAAACGGAACACTTTCAACCTTAAGACTCCAAAATGAAATTGAGTAGAAAAACATATTACCACCATAACTGAGACACAGCATGGACGAAGCCATCTAACAAAAATTAACATCGTTCAAATATTTTATGACATATTTTTCTAAGTGGCAAACATTTGGTACTGAAAACATCACATGTTGAGTCGTAGACGAGATTCACAGTTCCACTTTTGGCCTCAAAACTACTGGCTATATGTCACGAAGGTGTCCTGGTTGAGGGGTCTTTTTCTAGTTTCGTCATTTCCTGTTTTATTTTGAAGAATAACCCTCATCTCGTTTCAGGTCACTTGCACTTCCTCACCAGTCTGAGCGTCTCCCTGATTACCTATTGTGTGCACCTGGGGATCCCTTCCCTCATGTGGTTAAATAGTCCTCGTCTCCCCTTGTCCCGTGCCAGTGTGTTTCGTTCCCAACCACAGTGCTTGTCTTGTCCACAGTTCCCTCGTCATAGTTCCCTTGCCTAGATCCCGAAAAACGAGCTGTGCCCAGGCGATCCAGGAGTTCGTCGACCCGGGGCATAGGGTAGGCGTCAAACCGTGACACGTCGTTCACCTTGCGATAGTCCACACAGAACCGGATGGACCCATCCTTCTTACCCACAAGAACGATGGGGCTGCACCAGGCACTGTTGGACTCTTCTATTACCCCCAACTCCAACATTGTTTTCAATTCAGCCTGAACCACTTTTCTTTTGTGCTCAGGCAACCGATAGGGCCGTGAACGCACTGCCACGCCCGGGTGAGTCTCAACCCTGTGTTGAATAAGGCTTGTGCGTCCTGGCAGGGGGGAGAACACATCAGCATAGCGCTGTTGCAACTTGGCTATGTCTGTTTTCTGGGATGGCGAGAGATGCTTCTCACAATGGAGCGAGGCAGGATTGGCCGACTTTGGTACCTCAGGCCCCAACTCATCTCTCTCCGCAATTGCCGTCACCAGTGAAACAGACTCCGCCTCTCTCCAAGCTTTAAGGAAGTTGAGGTGATAAATTTGTGTAGCCCCTCCCCTGTCAGATCGCTCAAGCTCATAATCAACGTCACCTACTCGTCGTGTGACCACAAAGGGCCCTTGCCACTTGGCGAGTAATTTAGAGCTGGACGTTGGGAGCAATACAAGGACTTTATCTCCCGGTGAGAATTGTCTCAACCTGGATCCTCTGTTGTACAGCCGCTGTTGACGTTCCTGGGCCTGGAGCAAATTCTCTCGTGATAACCGCCCAAGTGTGTGGAGTTTTGCTCTCAGGTCCAGGACGTACTGAACCTCATTTTTACTGGGGCTTGGACCTTCCTCCCAGCTTTCTTTAACCAGGTCCAACACCCCACGTGGTTTCCTGCCAAACAGTAGCTCAAAGGGAGAAAATCCCGTGGAGGCCTGGGGTACCTCCTGCACTGCAAACAACAGAGGGTTCAGCCATTTGTCCCAATTATGATTATCATCGTGTACAAACTTACGGATCATGGACTTCAAAGTCTTATTCAGACGCTCCACAAGGCCGTCCGTTTGTGGGTGGTAAACACTGGTCCGAATCGACTTGACGTCCAACAATCCGTACAGCTCTCTCAGTGTCCGTGACATAAATTGAGTGCCTTGGTCAGTCAGGATCTCTTTCGGGATCCGGACTCGGGAGATGACCTGAAACAGTGCCTGTGCCACACTCTTTGCAGAGATGGTGTGCAGCGGCACTGCCTCCGGATATCGGGTTGCGTAATCCACCAGGACTAATACAAACCAATATCCGCGTGCGCTCCGGTGGAATGGCCCGATCAGGTCCATCCCGACCCGTTCAAACGATACCTCCATCAGAGGTAGGGGCCGTAGCGGCGCCCTCGGAATGGCCGGTGGATTGACCAATTGGCATTCAGGGCAGACCGCACACCAGCGGCGCACGTCTGCCCGAATGCCTGGCCAATAAAATCGGGCCATTATCCGGTTCAGCGTTTTGTCATACCCCATGTGGCCAGCCATTGGGTTATAATGAGCCGCCTGGAAAACAATTTCCCGGCGGCTTTTTGGAACCAACAACTGGGTAATCACCTCACTAGTCTGAGTGTGACGGCTCACTCTGTACAACCTATCCCTGCACAATGTAAAGTGGGGATATGTCAGCGGTGTGTCAGGGTGCACCATGTGACCATCAATTCTTATCACTTGGTCAAAGGCACAGCGTAGAGTGTCGTCACGAGACTGCTCGAGTGGAAAATCTTCCATGGAGTTAAACACGGGAACTAGCGGAGCCTCCAGTGGAGGCACCGCCAGCTCCCCCTCCCCGTCTGCAGTGTCGGACGACCTCGCGTCACCACTGAGCACAGCGCACATATCCCATGTCCCTGTCGGCCGTGAGCGCACCCCCACACATTGCCCCACTAGCTTATCGAACCCCGGCCAATCAGTTCCCAAAATCAGGGGGTGCGCCAGGCGGGGACTAACCGCCGCCTTTATGCTATGCTTTTTACCCCTATACCGTATCTCCACTGGCACCACAG